AGCTTGAATAAGCGTGACATAAGGAGAACGACTGGAGTCAAACAGCTTTGTTGGTAATTTGGTACTTTAACACTGTGATGCTTGAACCAATGCCTCCAGGATTACATAGTCTAGGGCTTGATGACTATTGCTGGAGTGACTGGCCTGCCTGGTATTCTGATGACCGACTGAGTTTGGTTTTACGCCGCTTTTAGCAATATTCCAGCAACATCACGGCGGGGTACACCAGATATGGGCTTCACACATTGTACCCATGTGGGGATTCGAACCCGGGTCTTCGGCGTGACGAGCCAACGCTTTAACCATTAGGCTACCCCACCACCCCGGTATTCTGATGATGATGATGATGATGATGATTATGATGGTCACATTGATGTATCATAAATTGTTTTCCTCTTCTGACTAAACTGCGAGCCTCATCGCTGACACACGTAAGCATGACTCGAAGAATAATCATCTTCTTATATTTTTTAGGTTTTATTTCGGGAGCTTACTAATTTATAGACTGCCAGGCATAACGAAATATACACCCATGATGGCAGCTAAAATGAAACAAATTAGGAGTACATGTATTTGTGATACTAGTCTCACAGCTGTGTTTTCTACCTTAAGTCTGAACTGTTTCGGCGACTGTTGTCAGAGCACTAACGTTTTCATAACGCTTGTAATGATTTTGGTTAAGTCCAAATTCAAATGTATACTTTCATTTGTTGGGTATTTGAAAATATCTGGGCTCACAGTTTAGTTTTGGTTAAGAAATATCTGCTTTTACATCTATCCATGAAGAAATACATTGTAGATATCTCCATACCAAAGCACCCAACTCGGCCCCTTGTCAGTGCGTGATGTGGCGGTACGATTCTTAACTCCGAAATCAGAGCTCGTTTTTCATGCTGTCCCCCCTGGTTGTCCTCGACCAGAGGCAGTTAGTTACTAGTTACAATCACCAGTGACATAGCTGTACAGTGGTTGGTGACTGCAAATATAAACCCAGGTGTTCTTATGTGTTTTCTACATCTCCAGAGAGCTTAAATGGTCGTCGTCGGGCGAATGAGTGACATCAGAATGTGTCAGAACATTTATTTGTTGAAGTCATGTTCAGGGTTTGACAACAAGTCGTTCATTTTCCCGCAATGACAAAGTACACAATAAGTCGTGACGTCACAACGTGCACATTCCTCCAAGACCGAATCCTCGGCGTGTCACGTAAGGTTGTGTAACTGAGGAATAGTTACCTGGAAGAATGCACGACCTTAACGCTTGGCCTGGCTAGGACATCACGGCTTCGCTTCCAATCAACATTGTTTGCGATACAAAAGTAGTGGCTGAAGGTTACCTGTTTGAACTGATATGCTACTGTGAACTTTACACGTTGCAGACAGAATGTCCATATTGTGCTGTCACGCTCGGGGTGTGACGTCAGAGATTTGTGCGCCGTGACACCTTGTGTCATGATTCTCGTGAAACAGCAGTGTGTCGAGACGCACACTGATGTCACGCCTTGTACCAACGTCAGACTGTGACATACTGATGAAGAGACAAACAGAGACTGTCGGGCAAATACGTTCACCATTAAGCGGGCCCGGGCAATTCGACATGCAGAGTTGTGTCCCTTTAACGTGCAAGAAACCTATGGTCGTGGTTTCAAACTCCAGACAGTGACACACTGACTGTTCCAGGTTTGCCAGCACGTAGTCTGTCACCAAGCGAAAAAATATGTAGAGGAGCCCAACAGAAGTTTATAATGACTGGGCAATTCTAGACTACCTTAGTTCTAACTTGTTTGAGTGGCATTTTAGAAGTTGAGACGTACAATATATAACAAGTTTTATGGATAACAACTTCTTTATTTTCGTGAGTGCGACGTTTCGATACAGATTCTTGTACCGTTGTCAAGCAAGAGTGATACATGAAGTGTAGGAGCTGCATATATATACTGTATATAACAATGAAACAACATAATAGACAAAGGAAACAACATAATTGCCATGATTGGCTAAGCAGTAAGCTGATGAAGCCAGTAAGTACATAAAGGATAGTGAGTGGAAGCCAGAGATGTAGTTACAATGAGATGTTTATACAATGGATGCGATGTTTATACAATAGACTGGGCTTGGTGGAGGAGTGGATCATAAGCAGATGGAATGAAGTATCCTTGGTCACGGTTGATGGTAGGCTTGTGGCGTTTGATGTGAATGGCTTCTGTGAGCTTGCGTTTAGTGAAGTCCATTTGGTTGTTGGCGAGAATGGTAATGTCGGACCACTCTATTTGATGATTGGGGTTGGCTTTGATGTGGTCAGAGATAGCTGATTTGGTGTCGGAATTAGCAACAGAGGTGCGATGTTCTTTGACTCGGGTGTTGATGGGTCGGGATGTTTCACCTATGTAGCATTGTCCACAATCGCAGTCTATTTTGTAAATAACACATTTCGGGTTGTTGTTGTTGACGGTGGGTTGTTTTCTTCCGTTGGCATGGAGGAGGTTGTTGAGGCTGGAGGACGCTGAGAAGGTAGTGTCTATTCCTGCCTGTTGTTTCAGGAGTCGGCTGATTTGGTGTGATGGTTTACCAATGTAGGGAATGGATATCTTGATGGGGGCTGATTCTAGTTTAGACCTTTTGGCAGGAGGTGAAAGCGTTGCTTCGATGGTTCTGTTGACTATTTCAGGTGGGTAGTGGTTGCGTTCCACAAAGACTTTCCTCAGGTGTTCAATTTCTTCCTGTAGGTTTGTAGGTAAATCTGCCAACTCCTTCATCAATGATTCAACTGACTTCTGCTCCAAGATCCGTGACATCACCAACCCAGGTCCAATCATCAGCTACGACGTTGTGGACCTATTCACCAATGTACCTCGGGATGAAGCCCTTCAAGCACTACGTCACAGAATTGACAACCTCCAACAACCCCTCAACACCAGCCTCTCTACCGACTCTATCATCAGCCTCACCTCCGCCTGCATCAACTCCACCTACTTCACCTGGGGCGATGCCATCTATGAGCAAATCCACGGACTTCCCATGGGCTCCCCACTATCCCCCATCCTAACAGAAATTTACATGGCCGACCTGGAAGAGAAGGCCCTAGAAACTGCACCCTTCAAACCGTCCTGCTGGTACCGCAAAGTGGATGACACCTTCGTCGTCCTCCAACCTCAGCAAGATCCAAAGCAGCTCCTCGCCCATCTCAACAGCCAACATCCCCGCATCAAATTCACCATTGAAACAGAGCAGAACAACCAACTACCTTTCCTTGATGTCCTTGTGTCCCGCACCTCCTGCAACCAACTCCAGACCTCCGTGTACAGAAAACCAACTCATACGGATCAATACATCCACTACAACTCCAACCACCCACCTAAAGTCAAGACCGGCGTCATCTCTACATTGACCAGAAGAGCCAAAACATCTGCTCAACAAACCTACAGGAAGAAATTGAACACCTGAGGAAAGTCTTTGTGGAACGCAACCACTACCCACCTGAAATAGTCAACAGAACCATCGAAGCAACGCTTTCACCTCCTGCCAAAAGGTCTAAACTAGAATCAGCCCCCATCAAGATATCCATTCCCTACATTGGTAAACCATCACACCAAATCAGCCGACTCCTGAAACAACAGGCAGGAATAGACACTACCTTCTCAGCGTCCTCCAGCCTCAACAACCTCCTCCATGCCAACGGAAGAAAACAACCCACCGTCAACAACAACAACCCGAAATGTGTTATTTACAAAATAGACTGTGATTGTGGACAATGCTACATAGGTGAAACATCCCGACCCATCAACACCCGAGTCAAAGAACATCGCACCTCTGTTGCTAATTCCGACACCAAATCAGCTATCTCTGACCACATCAAAGCCAACCCCAATCATCAAATAGAGTGGTCCGACATTACCATTCTCGCCAACAACCAAACGGACTTCACTAAACGCAAGCTCACAGAAGCCATTCACATCAAACGCCACAAGCCTACCATCAACCGTGACCAAGGATACTTCATTCCATCTGCTTATGATCCACTCCTCCACCAAGCCCAGTCTATTGTATAAACATCGCATCCATTGTATAAACATCTCATTGTAACTACATCTCTGGCTTCCACTCACTATCCGTTATGTACTTACTGGCTTCATCAGCTTACTGCTTAGCCAATCATGGCAATTATGTTGTTTCCTTTGTCTATTATGTTGTTTCATTGTTATATACAGTATATATATGCAGCTCCTACACTTCATGTATCACTCTTGCTTGACAACGGTACAAGAATCTGTATCGAAACGTCGCACTCACGAAAATAAAGAAGTTGTTTCCATAAAACTTGTTATATATTGTACCTTAGTTCTAGGTTGAAATTAAGAACTGTTCTGACTTGCTTTTCGATCACATTTTATTTCTTTCTCTCCCCTCTCCTTCACGCACACACACACACACACACACGCGCGCGCACACACACACACGCACACGCACACACACAGAGAAGATAATTATACATTTCTGTGATTTTATTTCGGTCTTGTCAGCTCCATATTCGTTACATGGGTTTCACCACGGTTTATAAACCTTCCTTACATATCCGACTAACCATGATGTTACGAAACAAATCAGGCTCATTCACTCAATATTAACATTAACCCGTGGCCTATGTTAAAAAGAATGTCACTCGTATTCTTTACCACTAATCTCAAGTTCAAGCATCGCAGCCCTGATGGTTGATTGACGAACCAAGGAGCTACTGTGGTACGTTTCTAGTTTAGGTTTACGGTACGCTCTGCCACATCTAATCACCTAAACAATTAAATATTCATCTTGAAATCAGATACGGCTACTCTTGTAGAAATTATACACCTCAACAATCTTGAGGCTCTCTCTGATGATGAGGGCAAGGGTTGTCTCTTGTTCTTCTTGTGTTTGTTGTTGATGGTGGACCTGGTTTGGTGATGCTGTATAATCGATGGCCACTGGTGATGATGACCATGCAGTTTGTGATGCGGGCCATGTTGTTCACTCTTGTGCTGTTGTTTGGTGTGCTGTTATTGTTGTCAGTGTTGGTATTGATAAAGATGTTATTTGTGATTGTTTGGTATTGTTGGTTGTTTTGGTCACATAATGTTCGTGTTGACGTTGTTGGTGTCGTTGCTGTTGATGGCTGGGTATTGTTGTTATTGTTGATGCTGGCAGTGTTTTGGTGTGTTTTGTGCTGTCCATGATGTTGGTGCTGTTTGTGTTGACGCTGTCAGTGTTGTTGGTGTTCTTTGTGTTGACGCCATCCATGATGTTCATGCCGTTTGTGTTGACACTGTCAAATTTATTGGTGCTGTTTGTGTTGACGCCGACCATGTTGTTAGCGCTGTTTGTGTTGACGCTGACCATGTTGTTAACGCTGTTTGTGTTGGCGCCGACCATGTTGTTAACACTGTTTGTGTTGACCCCGACGATGTTGTTAGCGCTGTTTGTGTTGACGCCATCCATGATGTTCATGCCGTTTGTGTTGACACTGTCAAATTTATTGGTGCTGTTTGTGTTGACGCCGACCATGTTGTTAGCGCTGTTTGTGTTGACGCTGACCATGTTGTTAACGCTGTTTGTGTTGGCGCCGACCATGTTGTTAACAATGTTTGTGTTGACGCCGACGATGTTGTTAGCGCTGTTTGTGTTGACGCCGACCATGTTGTTAGCGCTGTTTGTGTTGATGCCGACCATGTTGTTAGCGCTGTTTGTGTTCACGCCGACTATGTTGTTAGCGCTGTTTGTGTTCACGCCGACCATGTTGTTAACACTGTTTGTGTTGACGCCGACCATGTTGTTAACGCTGTTTGTGTTGACGCCGACCATGTTGTTAACGCTGTTTGTGTTGACGCCGACTATGTTGTTAACGCTGTTTGTGTTGACGCTGACCATGTTATTGGTGCTGTTTGTGTTGACGCCGACCATGTTGTTAACGCTGTTTGTGTTGACGCCGTCCATGTTGTTAACGCTGTTTGTGTTGATGCCGACCATGTTGTTAGCGCTGTTTGTGTTGACGCCGACCATGTTGTTAACGCTGTTTGTGTTGATGCCGACCATGTTGTTAGCGCTGTTTGTGTTGATGCCGACCATGTTGTTAGCGCTGTTTGTGTTGACGCCGACCATGTTGTTAACGCTGTTTGTGTTGATGCCGACCATGTTGTTAGCGCTGTTTGTGTTGACGCCGACTATGTTGTTAGCGCTGTTTGTGTTGACGCTGTCAGTTTTATTGGTGCTGTGTGTGTTGACGCCGACCATGTTGTTAACGCTGTTTGTGTTGACGCCGACCATGTTGTTAACGCTGTTTGTGTTGACGCCGACCATGTTGTTAGCGCTGTTTGTGTTGACGCCGACCATGTTGTTAGCGCTGTTTGTGTAGACGCCGACTATGTTGTGGTTGCTGTTTGTGTTGACGCCGTCCATGTTGTTAACGCTGTTTGTGTTGATGCCGACCATGTTGTTAGCGCTGTTTGTGTTGACGCCCCAAACATGCTGTTAACGCTGTTTGTGTTGACGCCGACCATGTTGTTAACGCTGTTTGTGCTGACGCCGACCATGTTGTTAGCGCTGTTTGTGTTGATGCCGACCATGTTGTTAGCGCTGTTTGTGTTGACGCCGACCATGTTGTTAGCGCTGTTTGTGTTGACGCCGACCATGTTGTTATTGGTGCTGTTTGTGTTGACGCCGACCATGTTGTTAGCGCTGTTTGTGTTGACGCCGACCATGTTGTTAACGCTGTTTGTGTTGATGCCGACCATGTTGTTAGCGCTGTTTGTGTTGACGCCGACCATGTTGTTAGCGCTGTTTGTGTTGACGCTGACCATGTTGTTAACGCTGTGTGTGTTGACGCCGACCATGTTGTTAACGCTGTTTGTGTTGACGCCGACCATGTTGTTAACGCTGTGTGTGTTTACGCCGACCATGTTGTTAGCGCTGTTTGTGTTGATGCCGACCATGTTGTTAGCGCTGTTTGTGTTGACGCCGACCATGTTGTTAGCGCTGTTTGTGTTGACGCCGTCCATGTTGTTAACGCTGTTTGTGTTGATGCCGACCATGTTGTTAGCGCTGTTTGTGTTGACGCCCCAAACATGCTGTTAACGCTGTTTGTGTTGACGCCGACCATGTTGTTAACGCTGTTTGTGCTGACGCCGTCCATGTTGTTAACGCTGTTTGTGTTCACGCCGACCAAGTTGTTTACGCTGTTTGGGTTCACGCTGTCAATATTGTTGGTGCTGTTTGTGTTGACACCGACCATGTTGTCGACCATGTTGTTGATGTTTACCACATCAGTGAGTGTTGTTGATATGTTGGTAGTTGTGGCTCAGTTATCCCACCCTCGTGTTGGCAACACATTGAGTGACTAGCTGGAATCTGAAGGGAATCCTGTAGCGGGTTGAACCTATGTTAACTGCTCTATATTATGGCTTTTTTCCACCCAAGCGTAATAATTACAAAGACTTCTACAGCCAAATTCTCACAATTTCTGGCCATGAATAAGCCATCGCTTTCAAATCTGGTCGTGCGAAAGTACATACATAATTAAAGGGTATTCGCTTTGATGGGACACCGACCTCGAAACACAGCTAACATTCCAAGTGGGGACTTCAACATTATTTGCGTAGAATGTTCACAGCAAATCTCCCCATATAGCGGGCCATTATGTTCAATACCTCCTCATGGCGCTATGTGGCATATTTTGTAACGCTCTTCCACGGTCAGCGTGACTTTCGAATGAAACATGCCGCATTTTATTATCCGTGCGAGCATTACAAATTCAAATACCCTGAGCAGGATGGTAACTCTTAGCAAACAATGGCGAGTGGTGAGAACTTGAATTTTATATTTATGACAGCGTAGGCTTTCTCCTCGGTCGCGTCACCTCTGACCCTGTGTAACAGGTATCGGGGATGACGTGGACGGCCGTCTTCATCCCCACTATCGCAGTCGTAGTCTGCTGATTCATTGTGAAGTGGAGCAAAAAGGGCGCTCATCGGTTAGAAGAGGAGAAGAATGACATCGTGATTTGCGTTTAAACGAAACCTATGGAGAACGTTTATACAGTAAAAGTGAACAAGTCTGTGGGGATTCCAGGGGCTTGCACCAGGATGACAAAACAGAGTGAGTGAGTTTAGTTTTACACCGCACTCTTCAATATTCCAGCTATATGGCGAAGGTCTGTAAATAGTCGAGTCTGGAGCAGACAATCCAGTGATCAACAAGCATGCGCATCGGTCTGCGCAATTGGGATACGATGACATGTGTCAACAAAGTCAGCGAGCCTGACCACCCGATCCCGTTAGTCGCCTCTTACGACAAGCATGGGTTACCGAAGATCAATTCTAACCCGGATCTTCACGGGTGAAAAAACAGAGATGTAACTATGTTGATACCCTGTGTTGATATTCTTTTAAATTTGATGGGTGGGCATTAACCACTGTACTATATACTTCACAACGATGAAATGGCCTTGTTCGCACATGCGGATGGATCCGCTAGTTTTGGGTTCGAACCCAATGAGAGATATGGCAGGTAAGAAATAGAAGCCTCGGCTACATACGCAGTAGATCCGACCCCCACCCCACTCCACCGCTCCAATGTATGACCCTCGATCATTTGGGACATATCTCGCCGTGATATTGCTGAAATTTCTCAAAATGGAGAAAACCATCAATTCCAACTTCATATTTGTTTTTATTGGTAGCGTAACCTTCTGCCCCTTTTCCAAACGAACAAAGCCAGAATGAAGATGTCTCGCACATTTGTGTCTAAAACCAATTTTGTTTTTGCTGATGTATTCTTGAGACGAGTCATCGAATATATCACCGTCTGGCTACGTATTGCGGAGTTGTTGATAGGAATGAATCGCTTTGAGACTGTTCCTAGTCAATGCCCTTCCCTTCCTTCCCGCTTCAGTGTTGGGCAATGGGTGGTGAATTGATCTCTCGTGTCTTATAGTGATGTCTCATCAAGCACCTTGCAGCGGTCTTAAATTAGGATTTCACAACAGTAAGAGTGCACGGTGTCTGCTGATAACATTAGCATTACTGGCCAGGATCAACTCATTTGTTTCTCTTTCTAGCCCTGCATTTTCGCCCCATGAGTCAGATCCATTTAGTCAGGATTTTCAGGACAGTGGTCCTGTGGTTTGGTGTGTCACTCGGAGACCGGGTTCGAGTCCCTTGATATCGCATACCACACGTCATTTTGTGTGCACTGGTGATATTGTGAGAAGGTGTGTGTGTGAGACCTACAGTCACGACACAGTCTGGTCCAAATTGTGGTCACCATCATCACCACCGCTACAACCACCACCATCGCCGTCGTAACCACCACCACCCACCACCACCACCACCATCGTCGTCGTTATCATCATCATAAGGCCGGCTCCACACTACGACCGAAAATTTTGGCGCATGCGTTGATCCGTGCGATTTCATATGCACACTATACGCGTTTTTCCACAGCTTATGAACTGCGTTTTTATTCACGATTTAAAATGGAACCATGCAAGTTAGTATATCTTTTATCTTACCCTCTTGTACAGTAACACCCAAAGTTTGAGATATTGATGTCTTGATATTATTAATGACGTCAACATCTCGATAATCCTTACTCCTCTTATCATAAAGAGCAGGGTTTTCTCAACCATGTTTATGAGATTTCTTCACACTGATGATGTCTGAAAACATAACACTATCAACTATATATTTATTCACTAAGTGTATCAAATGAAATGCGCTGATATCAATGGAAACGCCAGAATAGAGAAGAGAGAACGTACCTGATTGCTGCCACGAGGTGGGGAAACACCCTTGAGCACATGTAAATATATTACGTCATCAAAGGAATTCCCATGCGTTTTCCAATGCGATGCGTACAAAATAGGTGCAGGAACTATTTTCATCGCATCGCATCGCAACGCATTCACAATTTGGACGTAATGTGAATGACATATGATAAAGTAACTTAATGCGTTTTTTTGGACGCAACGCATGACGCAACGCAAGAGTGAGTGAGTGAGTTTTATTTTTACGCCCCTTTTAGCAATATTCCAGCAATATCACTGCGGGGGACACCAGAAATGGGAATCACACATTGTACCCATGTGGGGAATCGAACCCGGATCTTCGGCGTGAGGGGCGAACGCCTTAACCACTAGGCTACCCCACCGCCCCGCCCCAATGAGAGATATGGCAGGTAAGAAATAGAAAGGCGTGAGGGGCGAACGCCTTAACCACTAGGCTACCCCACCGCCCCACGCAAGGAAAGAAAAATCGGATGTAGTGTGAAGCCCCCCTAACCATTTGTGTATTCATTGTAAAAGTGAGTGAGTGAGTTTACTTTTACTCCGCTTTTAGCAATATTCCAGCCATATCACAGCGGGGAACACCAGAAATGGGCTTCACACATTGTACCCATGTGGGGAATCGAACCCAGGTCTTCGGCGTGACGAGCGAACGCTTTAACCACTAGGCTACCCCACCGCCCCTCATTGTAAAAGTGTTCCTTGACCTTGGAGAGACGGTCGTTCAACCCCTTAATGTCGTCCTCAACTTTCGCTGTTTACTGACAGATAGTGTTGAACCCTATAACTGATATTACCCATCCAAGTACTGTGGGCTCTCAGCAGGACCAATGAACCCCACGCTGTTCACCTTTCACAAGAGACAATCCTATCCCACTCCCTAGACCAAGTGGAAACTGATGTGTTGCCGTGAAGATGTCTCGAATCGCATTCATACCACGCTATCAACTTCAGTCCTCTGTACACAGGTATTTTGTACTGCTCCAGAATGAAACCATCCAAATTATATCAATGCAATCTGTACACGCACACGGACACGCCTGACTGGTTCTTCAGTTGAACGCCATAACGTACAAACATGCCTCTCTGTTTGTTTGTATTGTATGTTGGGCCACGGCAACCCACAGCATCGCGCTCCTCAATAGACGGAAACTAGTCGTTATCTCCGCATCAGTGAACATAGACCTGAAGTAGAGATATTGAAGAGTGCGCGGACGCAACGGTTACATGGTTATTAACGATTGGGGTCTGGTATACTCTTTGATGTGAGCAACGGATACGAGAATTTGACACGTCACCCCATCAACATGTCTCTTACAAGTCAGTGATGTAGCACCAAACAGAACTGTAAGGTTAAATTCAGCCTTCATCAAGTTATCTATATGTATTGAAGGCCTGCCTGGTGTTCGTTGGGGATGATTCTGTGTCTGCGCTCACTGTGGCTTGTCTGAAAGACGCGTATGTCACAGTGCCAGTGACTTTAGTTTGACTGTCACACAATCAATATCTGTGTCCCAGTATCCATGAATGTAGTATGTCTGAAAGAGAATCTGGGCCCGGGTGTCTGCCAAGTCACTATGTCGCGTCCCCCTGTCTGGAGCGTGTCTGACAGTCAGGGCCTGCATCATAGTATCAGTCTGTGGTATGTCTG